ACTAACAAGTAAGAGATTGGGTCCCATAGCAAAATGACACGCAAAGCCATCTCTAAACACATCCTAAGGCTGTGTCTTGAAACAGCGAGTTTGGTAAAAAAGAAAAGGTTAGGAGACAAGTACATGCATCCGTCCTTTTATCCGAGTCTCCTACCTCTGCGATGGTGCTTTCTGGCCGGGCAATGATGACCTGACCCTGTAGGAAGGCCCCAGGACCACCAGGGTTGGAACAAAACAAAACGGTGCAATGCATTCCTTAAATAGGAAGCCCCTGCAATGAGAGTTCCTCGGCGCAGTTTATCCCGCTGTTGCAAAAATGAACTGCACTCCAGCAGAAACACTTAGAGCTGAGAAACTAAATATTTGAAGTATGTTCTAAATAAGTCAAGGGGGCTGATGATCTTGTTTGACTAAACCAGCTGCTGAACTTGGGGTTGTTTGCTTTGCTAGCACAGGCCAGATGGGTGTGGAGTCCTGCTTTGCATTTGATCAGATTTCAGTTTTAACAAACAAATGCTGAAGGTGGCTTCCTTTTGAGATTTCAAGCTGCAAGCATATATACCCTTGTTGGGTGTCCACATCTGATAAGAAGCGTGGGAAACCAGAGGACTGGACTCCTGGAAGGGCAACCCCTATAGAGAAGGCGTCGTTTTGATATCTCAAAGGGGATGGACTCAAGATATAACCTCATCCGGTAGATGGTATCCAGCCTTTGCTGTTTTTTGACACAGGGAGGGTAGGAAGAAGCGGGATGATGACAATGGGAAATGTTCTCATCTAGTTCATTTCCAACCTTCTCTTCCAGACACTCAAAGAAATGTCAGCAAAACAAACCCTCGAAATCCTACCAGGTCCATAGGGATTCTCAGAGGGGTGAACCGGCCACATCACCAGAGAAAGTTTGAAAATAACATGGCAGTTTTACCCCAAACCTCCCATTTATCACAAGTCCCTGGATTTCACATTGCTGAAAAAAAAAAAACTAAAACATCACCAAATGTATAGAACAGTACACACAGTTCACCATTTGAGAGAAAAGCAATGTGTTTATGTTGTGGTTGTTATTGTTGGGCGCCACTGAGTCTGCTCACACTCCTAGTGACCCCTACATACAATAGAATGAAACACTGCCCGGTGCTTTAGCTGCAAAGACACACTGTTCATCTGTACCAACACCCCAACACAAAGCGTCTCCCTCCTTTGGGGCTGGCACTAGGCAACAAAGACCACGCCTTGACTTCTGACAAATGTGAACTACTTGAGAGCAAGGTGATGAGTGAAGGGGTGCAAGTGTGGAAATATAACTCAGGCTTGCACAGTAAATCAAGTGCTAAGTCCAGAGCAAGGGGCGCTACTTTTCATTTCCCACAGCATATGTGTGACTCCAAGACCCTGGTGGAAGCCACATAAAAAGGAGATAGAGGATCCTTGGCTACAGAAACACAATCCCCAAATCTACTGTCATTAAATCAATTCTGACTCATAGGAACCTTATAGGATAGAGTAGACCTGCCCTTTGGGGTGTTTGAGGCTTTTAAAGTTTTGTATGAACAGATAGCTTCATCTTTCTCCCATGGACAAATTAGTGGGTTCAAACCACTGACCTTGCAGTTAGCACTTCAATATGCAGCCCACTATACCACCAAGGCTCCTTAAGTATCAACCAAGTGTGTTGGCTGGGAACAGAACGGGGGTCAACTTCCTGGAAGGTAGCTACACTCTCCACTATACCACCAACACCTCGAAGCCCGAGATCCAACCAGTAAAGCTTAAAACCTTCACTTGTTGACTTAGGTGAAGACCCTTACCCTCAAAGTTACCAATTTATTTGCTCTTTCTTCTATTTACCCATTCATCCATGTGTTAGTTATTCAGACAACTGACCAACAGATGTATTGGGTATCTATTGGATGTCAAGAATATAAGAAATAGTTTTATTTTGCTTCTCTAAATTATATTCTGCTTAATGAGTATTTTGGATTGAATTGTGTTCTCTGCCAAATATGCATCAATATGCCTGGCCCATGATTCTCAGTATTATGTAGTTATCCTCCACTTTGTGATCTGATATAATTATTCTATGGGTGGTAAATCTTAACCTCTATGATCTTAATAAGGTAGGATTGGACAGTTATGTTCATGGGGTTGTATACAATCTATAGGATTATTTCTTTTTATTTTTTAAACTTCAGTTCCTCCTTTTATTGGAAACTCTTACAGATGTCAAAACATTCCATGATTCCAATAGTTCTAGTTTAATTGTACAATTGCTACGACAATCAGTTTCAAAACATTTTCTTTCTTCTTGGACTCTTTGAAATCAGTTCCCCTTTGTCCCCTCCCCTTCCTACCCTTCCCCCCAGGAACACTTGTTATTGTTATATATTATTATTAATATTCTATTATTATTACTATATATATATACACACACACACATTTTTTTCACCTACAATTCTGTCGTTCACACCCCTTGAGTGAACTTATATAGTCATTATTGCTCTCAGTTCCCCACCCCCCCACCCCTGTCTTCCCGTGTCCTCAGGGAATCATTACTCCTGTTGCTGCTTCTGTAGGGTCATCTATCCTGGCATTCCTGTATCAAATGATCTTACTTCTATACCTGAACATACTTAGGTCTAATAGTATTAATGAGGTGAAACATAAGCCTTAATAGTAAGGGGAGGAAATATTAAAGAACCAGAGGATAGTTATGAGTTTCATTTGTGCTACACTATGTCCTGAATTCCTCATCCCCCCACCCCCACCCCCACCACTGCCTCTCTGTGAGGGCCTGTCCAATTGTCTTGCAGGTGGGTTTTGGGTCTCCACTTTGCCCATGCTCCTTCATACCCATTTGATTGCTTATTTTTGAACTTCTGATACTGATTCCCATCGACACCTCATGATCCCACGGGCTGGTGTGACTCTTCCATGTGGGCTTTGTTGATTCCCTGCTCAATGGCCACATGTTTGACTACAAGCCTTTAAGATCCCAGCTGCTGTATCTTTTAACAGCCAGGCCCCATCAGCTTTCTTCACCACATTTGCTTATGCAATTGTGTTGGGAAGGTGAGTATCATACAGTGCCACATTATTAGAACAAACCCTTCTTGTACTTAGTTAGATTTTAGTACAGGCCCAAAGTCCATCTGCTTCTTTATTGAATTTATATATATGTACGTGTATTTACAAATACACCTATATTTATATAATTGTATATTTACATAATTAGATATCTATATTTATGCCTACATATCAATTTTTGGCTTTCCTCTTTTTCTTTCGTCCTGCCCACAATTATGCCTACCCATCATTCACCTCTCAGTGATTCCTCTCAGACACTTTTCGACCGGGAACTCTGCACCATCCTCACTGTCAATTTTTTAACCCTTATTAGTCCCTGTCCCTGTCAGTATTGGCTTCCCCCTCACCTGCCTCTGCCTCCTCCCCTCCCAGCCACTCCACCCCTGCTGGAACTGTCATTCCCGTTGCTGTCTCCATGGGTTGCTTGTCCTGCCTGTCTTATATAGATAGACACCCCCCAAAATAAGATCATATAAACAGTTCCAAGTCTACCTGATGCCCTGACCTAGAGTAGATGAATGTCTCTGTGCTAAATAGTGGCCAGGACCTTTATAATTCATCAGTCCAATCCCCGTTTCTTTCAGAGTTCCCAGTACCTGCGTACCTAACATTGCTTACATCCTTTTAGTCCTCAGCCTCGGGTACCATAGGGCACATCCTGCAGGCCCCCATTGCTCTCTCTGCAGTCAGGAAAGATTAGGTTATTTGTTGAGTCAATCTCTGTTGACTCAAGAGAATACACAAGCAAGCAGAGACTGAGAGACCTGCCACCAAGAAAAATGAGGTAGGGGCAGAGCATGGATTTTTGGACTCAAGGTCCTTAGTGCTGATTACCTCACAGACCTAGGGAAAGATTGATGCCAAGATACATGTGCATGTCCAAGGAACACCAGACCCACAGATGTTGCGAGCAGGCAAGGGCCTTCCCCGAGAGCCAACACAGAGAATGCTGAATTTGCACTGCCAGCCTCTCAAACGGTGAGAAAGAACATTTCTGTCTACTCAAACCATTCATTGTGGCATGCATGGTATAGGAGGACTAGATAACTAAGACAAGCCCTCTAGATAAACAAATGTGATAGATGGACATAGAAAAAAAATACTTTTTCTAAAACACTGGAACACCTAGTTGAAGATGGACCATAGAGCAATAAGTACCATTTAGTGAGGTCATGAAGATGTGCTAATAAAAAGGACATAGTATATTATTATAATACTTGGACTTATATTTTAACCTCTTACAACCATGTCTACTATTACCTTAGAGGCCAAAAGAGTTCAGCTGGGGGAAACATTTTTCGTTATCTGACAAAGAAAATAAATATCAGGGTTGTAGAATTTTGATTTTCCTCATAGCACCTCTCCCTTTCACTGATCACAATCAATCAGTGCACTTCATTACGTATGCATATTCCACGTCTAAGTTTCTCTTATAAGCCTGTGAGCTCCATGCAGGCAGGAGCTGCACCAACGTTCTTCAGAATTGTTATCTGACACCGAACACAGAATCTCAGCCATAATAGGAGTTCAACCATCTAGAAGGAGTTTAAATAACTGAACATCAAGAATAAGTTTCCAGAGAGGAGTGGGCAGCACCATCCCTCTGGATACTTCCTCGCAGGAAGCAGGCCAATAGGTAGATAAGCACCATCTGAAGCTGTAGGTAAGAAGCAATCAAAGTGGGTAAGCAGCATCTATGGTAAAAGACCAAGAACAGTCTCACTTGTGGGTATAAGAAACTGAAAAAACTCACTGCTATCCAGTCGATGCCAACTCATAGCAGGGTCTATAGGATGAGATAGAACTGTCTCTGTGAGTCTCTGAGATTGTAACTCTTTACAGAAATAGAAAGCCCCACCAAGAATTTGCTCTCAGTGGGCTGAATCTTTCTGATAGGTGGCTTCCTGTGGACTTACCTTTAATTCCTGGAGGACCTGGTACCCCTGGATGGCCCATGAAGCCCCTCGGTCCAGGGTCCCCTGTTTCTCCTGGGTGTCCCCTCAGCCCTGGTACTCCTCGATCACCTGAGGATGACAAGGGTGTTTTTCAGCCACTACAATATGAGTTATATTAACTGAGAAACCATCTGTACTCTTAGATGTGGGCTATGGGAAACATTGCTTTATTACTTTTTTCCTCCTAGATCTTTAACCTCAGAAGGAAACAGTGTGCTTCTCAACAAATGAAGTTGCCAATTATGTTTTTAAATGTTTCCTTTATTCTGAATGGGCAGGATCTGAAGGAAGAGGGCTCATTCAAACAGTATGCCATATACATGACATTTGACTCATGTCTGAAAGGAAAAAAGGAAACCAGCTTATCTATGAATGGCAGGTAAAATGGGGAGGGTGAGGATGCGTGGTGTCATGTTAGTCACCCTGCAGGTATTTTCCTGGTTTATTCTTAGGCTAATCTTCCTGAGATAGGCCTAGCTTCGTGTTAAGAAATGATAGACTATCTAATCATTTAGATAGGAAAAAATCATTTTATATATATTTAAATTCATTAGATAGAAATCCAAGACTATCTAAGTGAAGGCTGCTGCTTCCCTAAACACCAAGAGATCCAAGAATATCCTACAGGTCTCTAAACTTTCTTTCAATGTACCTGGACACCCAGGTGGCCCAGACAAGCCCGGCAGTCCTGGCCTTCCAGCTGGTCCCGTGGGTCCTTGATCACCAGGCAAGCCGTGTTCTCCAGGAACTCCGAAATGCCCTAAAGAAAGAAGGGTCAAACATCTGAGTATTTGCAGTGGCTCTTGGAGATATTGAGCCAATTGTCAACTTCTGCCCAAACTCTTCTTTTCCTATGTGTACATTTTTTAAAGTAAGGAAAAAACTGAAATGGAAACATCTCTAATCCCACAGGATTGGCACAATTTCCAGTACAGACCCGGTTGCCATCAAGTTGCAGCTCGTGACAACCCCATGTGTGTCTGAGTAGAACTGTGCTCCATAGGGTTTCCAATGGCTGTGATCTTTGGAAGTAAATCACCAAGTCCTTCCAACCCATCCATCCATTCTACTATCCATCTATCCATCCATCCATCCATCCATCCATCCATCCATCCATCCATCCATCCATCCATCCATCCATCCTCCCATCCACCTACCCACCCATCCATC